TTAATATTTATATATTGCATTTATATTATTATACAAATAATTATAAAATAATTGATTTTAATTAAATAATAATATTATAAATATTATATATTATTTAGTTTTATTAATAAATTAATTTGTTAAATATAATTTAAATAATCATATATCTAAAATAATTAAATTTCTTTTATTTTTAATAAAATAAATCTAAAGTAAATAAATATATAAATAATCTTAAAATCTAAAAATTTTTTATAAATTTAAATTTTTATAATACTTTTATAATAAATATTATTTATTAAAATTTTAAATGATTATTTTTATCTTTCAAATTATAGGAATTCATAAACAAATTACTTACTTATATATTATAAATTCTTTTTTATTTATTTTATTAAATTAAAATTTTTAAATTAATTTTATAAATAATATATTATATTTATAGTAACTTTTATTTTTTAATTATAATAAATTATTTAAAGTTACCTATAAGCTAAAAATTTGTAATTTTTAAAAATATTTAATATTAAAAATTTTATTATTAATCTTTGATAATCTTATTAAAATTTACTTTTAGCAATATTAATTATTTAAGAATAACTTTAATTAATACAATTTTTATAATTTATTAAGAAAATTTATAACTTTATTAATAATAAAGTGATTCGATTATTTCATAAACATATAAATTTTAAGAAAATTTAAAAAAATTATTATACTATTTAAAATTTAATTTTAAAATTAAATTATATAAAAAACTTTTTAATAAACTTAAACTTTTCATAATAAAGTTAATAAAATAAATACTAAACTATATTTTTATAATATGATATATTTTATTAAAAAAATTAGCACTTTTTTTTATATATTTACAAGTAAATTTGCCTGTTCTATAATTTAAGAAATAATAATCTTACTAGTTTTTATAATAAACTAATATATCTTTTATAAAAATATAAAAAACTTTAAATTTCTTTGTATTTCAATTTTTATTTTATTAAAAAATTAATAATATTAAATTTACTTTAAAGATAATTAGTATTATTATTTTTTTTTAAGAAAAAGTAAATTATTTATTAAAATCATATCAATATAATTTAAAAATATTTATTATTTCAAAATTGAAAAATGATTATATAAGTACTTTACAATATATTTTAAATTAATTTAATATAATATAATAGTATATAAATATTTATTTATTAATTATAATTATAATCATTTTTAGTAAAACCTTTTTTTAAATAATTATAATATTTATTTATTTCTAATTTGATTCTGAAAATTATAACTAAAAATATTGAAGTAAGATCCTTTTGATAGGTTTCATTTAAAGAAAAATTCAGATATTGATAAAAGTAAAATGATATAAATTACAAGTAAACAATCTCAATCATTTATTCAGATTTCTTATTCCATTGAACAGGATCTAAAGGACGTTCCTCAAATAAACTTTCAATTTCTTTTCTTAAAATTGAACAATAATCATCAATTGGTAGATCCTATATAATAAAAGAATAATGAGTATTTAAATGGTTTTAATTTTGAATGATTTTTCCATAATCACATACATTAATATCAAAACCAAAAGGATTTTCAATTTCAGTTGCTATCGCATCAACACCAAAGAAAGTAAATGTAGCTATAGCAGTAATAGGAACCGTATACCATCCTAAATTCTCATATAGTTGTGGTGGCAATGCCATACAATACAATGTTATCATTTGCTATGGGTAAAAAAGGTTAGAATTTATAATATATAGTAAATGAATAAATAGATCATTGAATTATATTACTTACTTTTAAATGAATAGAATAAGCAAGAGGAATTGGAGTGGAGAGGATTCTTTCAAATCCAGTAAGTATATCGGTCATAGAATGAATTAAAGAAATAATAGTATTAAACGTACTAAGGTCCAAACGACCTTGTTTTCTAAACATGCTAATGTAATTATACAACATATGGGTAATATCAACGGGTAAATTATGAATATCAGAATGTTCTTTTAAGATACTACTTAATTTTCTATTTAAAATTGGTTTTTTCTCACTTATAACAGCTTCGGAAGAACTGGAATGTTGTGATTCATCTTTCTCTAAAGCAAGTTCATGTTTTTCTTCAAATTTTCGATAAACGTAAGGTATTAAATCTCTTAGGTCTAAATACCCAACTCCATGTTCATCGCGAAGTCGATGTTTAACAGCTATAGCAAATGCAATAAATAATCGAATTGCTTTCTTGACTTCTTCATTTTCTGGATCAGGATTTTCCCCTTCATCTTCATCAATTTTATCATTTTTCGTTACAGTAAACCAAAGTAATCGAGTAGCATTCCTAACGTTGGCGACTAACCCACCCCATAATTTTCTTCCTTCCCAAAATCTATCATAACTAGTGTTAGTTCTCAATCCAATCATACCAGCAATTACCATAGTTAAAATAGGTATAAGCGAACTACTAAGTATTGGTGCTAACCCATGTCCCGCGAATATAACATACCACATTGAATATGCTGAAAACAACGTGACTGGTACAAGAACATTTGGTAATACCGTACCTCTGTAATGTAGAAAGAGAGTTTCATAAGAACAAGTATCTGTAAACTGTGACAATATATCTTTATTACGCATAGAAGAAGTTGCCGGTACACTTTTATTAGAGTGTTTCATTTTGATAAAAGGAACAAAAAAAAAAACGGGAAGTAAATTTGCAAAAGGCAAGTATGCTCATATATAGTATAAACCTGACTAATAATAGGATGAATTACATCATGTTTCACCAAAAGCAATTATCTTATCATCGCGTTTTCGCGTTTTTCTGTTTTCTCGTTCACTGGACGCACAGACGCACAATATCATGTCATTCCTTACACAAGATTGGGGATCGCATATTGTACAGTAATTCCAAAACTTTGTTTATTTAATTACGAAATATAATACATACATACATACATATCTTTCAAAATAATGATTTATCAAGCTAGTAATAATAACAAATATTTATGTAAACTGACTAAATTTTAGATTATTTCCATAAACCATGAAGTGGTTCAGATGGAAGAACATCTTTTTCCAAATGCAATTCATCATAGATAACCCGTTCCGCCGCTAAAGGTGCGATTTCTTTAATCTCAAAGTCCGCCAATTCCTCAAGTTCCTTACCAGCTTCTCCTAATTCTCCTTTAATATCTTCCTTTGCGCCAATAAATAATAATTCGGCTCCGTCGTAATCCAATAACTCGGAAGAAACCAAGGAGATAAATCGTCGACCACGGAATTTATCCAAAAGGTGAGTGGGATAAGTTACTTTTTCATAATCTGGAAGTCCAGCATATTGTGGATTTGTAGTTTCAGGGTTCTTTTTTTTTTTTTTTTTTTTTAAAAAAAAAATAAATTTTTAATTTCATTTATATTACTTGAACTAAAAACCATTCGAAAAAAAATAAATTTTAGTCACCTTTACACTGATAACGTAGCTTCCTTCTTTGTTAATGTTGAATTCTTTTTGAACATCATTTGGTTCTTCGGGAAATTCTAATACATATGCCAAATGTGTGTGTCCTTTATGTTCAACAATGTTGTACACTCCTCTTCCCAAGAGTCTGCACGAACTTAAAGTTCTTTCACCTCGAGTAGCAGTTTGATATTTTCTTCCATTAGTGAATTCTTTTAAGTCATCCAAATTTGTAAAGGCTTTATCCTATAAAGACAAATAAATAAATAAATATTTTATATATATATCATCAAAAGTTAAATATCAAATAAATGTAATTTTTTCAATTATATGAACACTTACAACGTAAGCCCAGAATTTAGCGTGTTTCTCAATTTCAGGAAGCTTTTTTTTACCAATCGAAATTACACGAGTTTTACCGGGAATAGGTTCGTCGGCATCAAATTGCTTGTTATCGATGATTTGATGAAAATAGCTTGGGATAGGTTTCTCAGATACAGACGGTCTCACCATATATGGGATAAGAATCATAAACAATCTTTGAACATCGTCAATGCTGTCTGGATTTTCAACATTAATCTGAGGAAGGAAATATCACGTGTTAACGAAATTCACGTGATCATATGCAAAAAATTTATGCGATTTTTTATTACCTTTGGTCTATAAAGAAAGCAAATATGACCCTTCTCAATTGTATTCGAAGCCATCTTTTTTCCTAATTCTTTTTTCGTTTCTATTTGAACTTGTTTTATATCAACGGCCTGTTCGCCTTTTGATAGGTCAATGTCTGCTTTTTGACGCTGTGCAGTTGTTTCAACATTTTTATTATATTCATCGACCAACATTTGGTCATGTTCATGGGGCTTTATCAAGTCATGACCTTGAGGTTCTTGCTCGGATTTGACTTCATTAATTTTATTATCAACTATGATGCCGTTACCGCTTTTCTGTTCTTGAATTTCTTGAGCATTAGATTCTTGTTGTTCCTCGCTTTTCTTACGACGTTTATTACCAGGTTGTTCTTTAACAGATTCTTTCACTTTATCATCAGAGACATTTTGTTCAATATCATCACCTTTAACAATATCTTTGTCATTATCGGTTTCCTTGGTAGAAGAAGTTCGTTGTTCTTTGGTATCGGATTTACGTTTTCTGCCACTGCCAGCTTCTTCGGCAATTTTTGCGGAAGCAATTGTCGAAGCCTTTCGTTTTTGTTGTGGCATTCTTAATTTTGCTATCCAAAATCGCCAAACGTTTGAATAAAGAATAAAGTTAGAACGAGATAAAATATATATATGTATATATAAAAAGAAGAAATTAGGAAATTAGAAAATAAATTTTAAAATAAAAAAATAATTGAAAAAAGGGGAATCGGAATCCTGTGGATTTATACGTTTTTTTTTTTTCAATACATAAGTGATATCATTGTGATAAAATATATTCGATTGTAAATTCTCTTGTAAACCAACCAGTTGATCAAAAGAGGACTTTTAAATTGGTCCCCGGAATGTTTTTCCCATCTTCGGAAAAATGCAAAAAATTGATTTTCCATATGGAGAACTCTTTTAACTAATAATAGATTAAAGACACATCTTGACTTATATGAATTTCAGAATAACATCGGTATAAAAAAAATATTAATAATACTGAATACGTGGGAACTTGCATTATATTAATAAGGATCGGGAATCGTTTGAACATGGGTCCTGATCCCAAAACAAACTCCACATTTTATACTATTATATTACATCACTATAGTTAATAACAAATATTTAATACCTGATAATCAGATTAACAATGCTTAACGTTAAAGATTTTTTTATAATAAATAATATATAATGATTTACTATTAATATTTTTATCAATAATTATTAATTTCATTTTAATATTTAAATTAATCATTTTTTTAATTTATATTAAACATAAATTAAAGTATATAATTTTTAAATATAACTTTAATTTTATATATTACGATTTTTTTATTGTAATACTTATATAAATTTTTTTTATAAAATTTATTATTTTATTTTTAATATATAAGATTAATTTATTAAATTTATAATTATTTCTACAATAAAATTTGTAATTTATAGTAATTTTAATAAAAATTAAAAATTTTCTTTTTGTAAAAAATATCAAAAAAAAAATTTTATTTATAAACTAAATATAATTTTTTTAATAAAATAAGTTCAAATTTAAATATTAATTCAAAAAAAAAATTTTGAAATTATTTTTGGATTTAAAAATTATATATTAAAATTACTTATTTTTACTATTTAAATTTATAATAAATTATTTGATTGCATTTTTAAATTTAGTAAATTATTTTTAAATAAAATAAATATTAATTTTTTTAATAATTTAAAAAAAATAGCAGAATTAAAATTTTTTTATATTTGTAATACCTTTAATTTTATTCAATCAAAATTTAAAATCAGGTATAATGTTAATAATTTAGCAAATCAAAACAAAAAATCAGTTAAAATCTTATTTATAAAATATATAAAATAATTTATTATTAAAAAGTAAAAAAGAGTGTTATAAATAAGACATTATAACAGGTATTACAAATACATTTTTTATTAATTATTTATAAGTTATCATTATGATTAATAAATTAATATAAATATTTACTAAATTTTTAAATTATTTTATTATATTTTTTATTATATTTATTTATAATTTCATTAATTTTAACTTTTATTATATTTAAAAATTTTATTATATTTATATTATAATTTTAATATAATTTTATCAAAGATTCAATTATTATTAAAAGGTTTTATTTTTTATTTATAAAATTAAAATTTAGTTTTAATATATTTAAATTTTATAAAAATAAAGTAAATAAATAAAATTTTATATATAATATTTATAAATTTAAATTTATTAATATAATAAAAAATTATTATTAATTTTTAAAATATATATTATCTTTTAATAACCTTCAAAAATAAGTAATATCTATTTTATATAAGTTTTAAAAATAAGCAACACTTCAGAAAATTAAATTTTTATTTAATAAAATTTTTTTAAATAAATAAATAATTTAGTTTTTCCTAACAGAAAACGATCAATATCAACGTCTTACAAAGAAAGAAATAACATATTAAATCATTAAAACAAACAGAAACTTTAAATACTCTTAAAAGTCCTTTTAATAGTTTCATTAATATAAAGTTTAAAATTTCTTTTGTCTCTATTCTTAATAAAGGAAAAGGTTCAGAAATTTTCAATAATTATGGAAAAGTCCTTTTCTATAAAAATCAAGCTTTTAATACATTTGAAAATAGCCTTAATGATCAATAAAACAATAAAAAAAAATTCATTTAGAGTGTGAAATGAAAGTTCTAATTTTTTTTTGCTAAAAAATTTTATTATAAAAATCCAACAGAGATAAATAAAACAAAGTTTATGATATTTTTGCATCACACTACTTATCTTTTATTAATGCATCAATCTTAAAGATTCAACAAAAAAAATCATTTGAATTGATTTATCTCACATGATAAGACTAATAATGCAATTACACTTAGACTTCCTTATTTAGATAATGACACGTTTTTACCCCTCATTAAGCTCTGAATCAGATCAGATTAACCTGTTTATCTAACCTAAACTGACCTAAAAATTTAGATCAGATCAATAGATTTTCAGGTTGATATCAGGTCAGGTCAACAGGTCAACCTGATCTGATCTGATCTGATAAAAATTCAGGTTAACCAATCATTCTTTTTGAATATTTATTATTGTTAAATTAGAAATAATAAAGTTGATTAAATAAATTAATAATTATTTATTATAATATTATTTATATTAAATATTATTTTTTTTTTTTTTTTTTTATAGTTGCAGTATCCAATACATAGGAATCTATAAACGAAGTATTTAAGGAGTATTGAAGTAATATCCTCTACATCTAAGAATTCCACAAAGTCGTATCTAGACTCTAGTTCTAGCCAGAACCCACCCTGTAATACTAGTCCGAAGATTGCCACCTAGGTCGACTTCTCAAAAGCTAACCCTCAAAATACCTAGACTTCAGAATTACTGTTAAATTTGGATAGAGGGATCACTTTCAACCACAGGTACTTTTATCAATTTTTCCCTGTTTTTACCAACATCATATCTGGATACTATTACCTCTGCCCGGTATTAGGATATATTTTTACATATGATCGGGAAGGCTTAGATGTTATCATCTGTATAGAACCTC